GTTTTCGATCATATTTGCCCTATCAGTTTCTCACACTAATGAGACAATATGAGTTTTACCCATTTGGTCTGATTTATTTTACATGTGAGCATAGTCTTGAGTTGCATCCGTTTGCCTAAAAATGTCAAGTATATTTTCTTTATGGATGAATAATATTCTGTTATGTAAAAAACATTTTTTGTATATTACTCAGTACACGGACATTTGAGTTGTTTTCAAGATTGCGTTACTATACTACAAACATCATATATGTATTTTGCTCTGTTATGATGTTTTTAATTCTTCTGGGAAAATACCCTGAAGGGGAATAGCGGGGGCAAGCATAACCACGAATCCTAATATTTAAAATCATTCACATATTTATTTCCACAGTGACTGCATCAGTCTACAATCCCATCAACAGTGTAGAAGGGTTTCTTTTCCCCACAGACCCACCAGCATTTATTATTGGTTGATTTTGTGATGATAACATTCTTTCCTGAAACAGATAGAATTTCAGTGTTCTTTTAATTTGTATCTCTGCAATAACCAATAATGTTGAACTTTTAAAATATATTTATGTGCCATTTGTATTTCTTTATCTGAGAAGTATATATATTGGATGCTCAGTTTTAGAGTGGACCTCAGTCTGGGGGACCTGATGTTTTCCAATTATTCATATGTTCGGGAGATGGGGCAAAAGAGACTCTATTTTAAGGGAGGGTCACTCAAGTTACACTCACTTCCTCACATCTTTTCATGTAGTTAACCATAAATCCACTTAGAGAAGAATAGGGTCATAAAACAGAAACAAATGGACAATTTGGGGAATATGGCAAACAAAACCAAACTGTCCCATGACAGGCAGATGGTTGACAGTGTCTGTGAGATTTTTTCTTTTTGTCTTTTTGCTTTCTGTCTGTCTTTCTTTTTTTGTATTTAGGACAGGGTGTACAGGTTGTACAGGGTCTCACTGTGTAGAACAGACTTGTAATGAACTTCCTGCTTACAGCCACCTAAGTGCTGGGATTACAGGTGCATGCCACTGTGCCCAGTCTCAATTGCCATCTCAGTGTGCCTCGGGGAGCGGGGCTGGCACAAGCAGGCCCAGGGATTGAAGTCCGGGCCCGTGCATCTGCCTAAGCAGGCATTTCAATCCGATGAGCTATTTCACCAGTCCTCACTTTTTTTTTTTTTTTTAAAGTAAACCTTGTGGCAATTCTGTGACATTTTTGTAACATATCTGAAAATAAGGTAATGAGGCAAATACTATGGAACCCCAAAAGGTGTATAAACTGAAAGCAAAGTTTAGGCTGTTACTGACAACTTTGGGAGTCCTAGCCAAAGTCAAGGCACTGGTCAGTCAGGAACTTACAATAAAATCTTCCTTGTTCCTTGGCCTTTGGTCTCTTGTGTGGGATTATCTTTAATAGCTGTAATTTATTGCTACACTATATATAAATCCTTTATCCGAGGCACAAATGGCTATAATCTTTTCAACTCTATGGGTTCTTTTCACTTTGTTGGTGGTTTGTTTGTTGTTGTGCAGAAATTTTTTAATATGGTGAATTCCCATTTGGAGATTCTTTGAAATATTTCCCATGTGTTTGTTTTTTTGTTTTTTTTTTTTTTTCCTGGAATTGAACTCAGTACTTTGAGCTTGCTAAGTAGGCATTTTGCCACTGAGCTATATCTTTTCTGTTCATTTCTTTTTTCTTTCTTTTTTTTTTTTTTGCCTGAAATCAAACTTAGCACTTTATGCTTGCCAGGAAGACAGGTGCGCTGCTGAGGTATATCCCTGGTGCACCATCTGGGTTTTATGCATGCATTCTCTGCTGACACGCATCCTTTCAAAAATTCTGTTTTCCTGTCCAGTGTTTGCAGAGGTTTTGGTTTAATATTTAGATCTTTGGGGCTGGGGAGATAGCTCAGTGGCATAAACCTGGCAAATGCAAGGGCCTGAGTTCAATCCCCAGTTCCACAAAAAAAGAAAAACAATAATAATAGTAATAATAATAACATTCAGATCTTTGACCCATTTTGACTTTATTTAAGTGTATACTGATAGACATGGGTATAGTTTTAGTCTTAGGCATGTGGAAAGCCAAGTGTTCCAGCACACTTTGTTAAATAGTCTATCTTTCTTCCAGTGAATGTGGTTGTTGACGACAAGGTGGTTTAGTGTGTTTTGAGTTTTTCTGCATTTTCTAATCTGTTTCCCTGATCCTTAGGGTAGTTCCCCCGCCCCACTCCCGTCAGTGCCATGTTGACTTTATCGCAGTAGCGTCATAGCATATTTTCAAATCAGGAATTGTGACACACCCTGACTTGCCTTTGGGCCCAAAATTGCTTTTGCTATTTTAGGTCTCTTCTGGTTCCGAATGAATCTTAGGAATGTCTTCTCTAGCTCTCTGCAACGTCACAGAATTGCACTAAACCTGTGCAACAATTTTGGGAGTATGGCCATTTTAACTACGCTGGTATTTCCTATCCATGAGCAAAAGACACTGTTCTATTTTCTGATATCTTCTTCAATATTCACTTTCAGTGCACTATAATATTCAATTTATAGGTTTTTTTGTTTCTTTTCTTAGATTGATTAGTAAGCATTTCATTGTTTGGATGAGATTGCAAAGATTGCAGTTGACCTAATTTCTCTCTGTAAGTTTGTCGACTTTCTCTGTATGTGTTCACTTTTTATCCAGCCATGTTTGTGAATTTGGTTATTAAATGTAGAAGTCTTTTAAGGGACTTTTTGGTATATTATATGTAGAGTATTGTCTCATTTGCAAATAATGATAATTTAACTTCTCGCTTTTTTATTTTTATTTTTCTCTTTATCTAGTTGTTCTCAGTAATGTTTCCAGAGCTATATTGAATAGGAGAGGTGACAGGTCACATTTCTGTCTTTTTTCCTGATTTTAGTATGAAAGTTTTCAAATTTCAACCATTTGGTATGATATTAGCTGTTGGTTTGTCATATATAGCCTTTATAAAATTAAGATAAAGAGTCTCTATTGCAATTTTCCATAGGGTTTTTTTCATGAATGGTTTAGTTTATTAAGTGATTTTTCTGTATCTATTGAGATGACTATATGATTTCTGTTAATATGTTGTATAACATCTATTGATTTGCATATATTGAACCATCCTTGTATCCGAGGGATGAATCCTGCTTGGTCATGGGGTATTATCTTCTTGACGACTTGCTGCATTCTTTCTTTACTAGTGTTTTATTGAGTATTTTGACATTTACGTTCATGAGGTTAATTGGCCTGTGCTGTTCTTTTTTGGTTGTGTTCTTCTCTGGTTTGGAATCAGGTTATTACTTACATTTAGCAACAATTTTGGAAATACTGCTTCCCTTTCAATTTCCTCAACAAATGTCAGCATTAGTGGAGTTAGTACTTTTCTAAATTTCTCGCAGATTTTAACAGTAGATCTTTCTGGGAATGAGCTTTTCTTCACTGGTAAGTTTTTAATTACTTTTAACTTCAAGGCTGATATAGAGATTGTATAACCTCCTGATTTAGTTTTGCCCATTCAATATGTCCACTTCTTCTAAATTAATGGAATTTTTTTAGTAAATATTGATGACTGGAATTTGTGTAAAATATTTTTTGATTTCCCACCTTTCTTTCTTAATGGCTTGAATTTTCATTTTGTTGGTTTGTTTTGTTTTTTCTTTCCTCTTTTTGGTGAGGTCCACTAATTGCTTGTTAATTTTAATTTTTTGAAAGAAATAACTTTTCAATCAATTGCTTCTTTGTATTGTTTTCTTAGTCTCAAATGCATTAATTTCTGCTCTGATCTTTATAATTTCCTCACTTGTATGGATTTTGGTTCAGTTTGCTCTTCTTTTTCTAGAAGTTTCAGCATTAGGTTGTTCATTTGAGTTCATTCTGTTTACTTTATTTATGAATTCATTGCTACAAATTTTCTGCATAGCACTGCATGCATTGTGTCTCATAAGTTTAGGTATGTTTTGTTGATATTATAGTTTTATTGCATATACTGTTTAATTTTATCCTTAATTTTCTTTGCAACCCATTGGCTATTCAGAAGTACACAGAGTAATTTCAATGTGTTTATGAAGTGTTTGTGATTTATTTTGATGTTGAGTTCCAGTTTTTTTGCATTATAGCCAGAAAAAAGGTGTTGAATAACTTCAATTTTTCTATCTATCTATCTATCTATCATCTATCTATCTATCTATCTATCTATCTATCTATCCTTAAACATATTTAATGGGATAAAATGAAGTCTATTTAGAGAAGATCCCACCTGCAGCTGAGAAGAATTTGCTCTGAAGTTTTGGTGTTGATAACTCTGAAGGAATATACCAAATTCATGTGATAATAGGCTTAGTTTAAATCTGATATTTCCTTGTGAATGTTTTGTCTAGTTGATGTGTCTATTTTTGGTTATTTAGGTTCCCCGCAAAAAATTGTGTTAGTGCTCATTCAGTTTTTAAGTCTGTGAATATTTGCTTTATGCAGTTGATTGCACCATAAGTTTAAAGCATGTATGTTTATGATTTCTATCTCTTCTTGGAGTTTTCCCTTAACAAGTATATAGTGACCTTCCTTGTTATTTTTTGGCCATTTTAGGATTAAAGTTTACATTTTCTGCAAAAGAATAGTGACTTCTGTTTTTTTCTGGGTTCCTATGGCATGACACATTGTATTCTATCCTTTGACTTTTAGTCGATAAGTTTCTTTGTTGGGTTAAGTGTGTTTCTTGAAAGAAGCATATTGTTGGATCTTGCTTTGATCCATTTTGCTAGTCTGTTTCTTTTGATTGGTGAGTTGAGGCTGTTTATGATAATGATTATAACTGATATGTTTTGGTTTATCTCTTTCACGTTATTGGTTTCCTATGTTTCTCTATTGAAATGTTTCCCCTTCTTGGTGGCTTCATTCTATTGGTGCTTCTGTGTTTGTAGGCCTCTTTCTAACATATCCTTCAGATCATTTTGTAAAGCTGGTTTGGTGGCCATGAATTTCTTCAGTTGTTCATTGTAAAATATGGAATACTTCATCAACTTGCAAGTCATCATTGTGAAGGGGCCTTGCTACTCTTCTCTACCTCATTTCAATTTTAGTGTATGTGCTAGCAAAGCAAGCATGATACAATTTTTATGATATTAAAAGAACAAATAAAATAAATATGAATGAAAAGCAGTATTAATATTCGACTACTGTTAGTCAGTAATTGGCAAAGTTCTTTGGCTGATCAGAACTATCCATTAAGGTAGTGCTTACCTAGTTCTATATATTTACAAAAGTCATTAAATCTTACACAGAATTCATTGAAATAGCACATAAAATGTAAATTATCATTTATAAATTTCATATGACAATATAACTGAATATAATTAATTAAATGGTAGTATTTATTATAGAATTACTTTTAGGTTAAATTCTGATGATCCGTGAAGTTGCCACAAAGAGCTGATTTTATATTGGGGTAACATTCCATGATATTCAATATTGATTCACCATATATGAAAGCTGAAAATTTGGCTGTATTTCAGAATTTGTAATGCAATATTTATAGTTTTGTATAACCTTGTGAGTGTTATAATTTGCTTTATTTTAGCTACAATAATATCTAATTCAAGAATAGTATCTCTATGAGTTTTCTTGGGAGAAAATATGAATAATGGTTTATTGATAATTTTATGATACAGTCTATAGCAGTAATAAAAATCAGAAATTGTAATGGATGCTTTATTAATCAACTCATTATGAAATTTATGTATATCTATATTCATAATAGCAGTTTAATATAATTTATCCAAAAGTTTTATCACTTGGTCACTAGTAAATTATACCTTTTATAATTTTACCTGGTCATAAAAATTATTAAAATTAGTAGCAAATGAGTGAAGTATAGAAATGCTAGTATATAAGGAAAGAAAATTAGCATATATTTTAAAATATTGTTTACCCTCACAATTACAGAACATTTAGAAATACGATGTTCAATTCTAAGCATTCTGCCTGAAGGATCAATTTTAAAACTTATAATTAGGGATTTTTAAGTCTTGAAAATCACATAAAGTTTTAACTAATAAATTTAAGTGGTAAAATACAAGGTACTTCTCCATAAATGGTCTCTATATTTATCATAATTTTATTTTGTTCATTGAAATTAAATTTTGAAATTTTACTTATTTCTTTTTTGTAGAGAGTCTTTTTTGTCTATGATTTGGATTCTGGATAACATTTAGGACATTATTTTAAGATCAGGATAAAATGTATTAACTTGTTATCTGATTATTTTATGAAATTTTGTTTTATTCTTTGCACAGAACTAAAAACAGTGTTTTTACATATTTCTTCATTAATATGTGCTTTTATTCCTTTAAATTAAAAAACAAAACATGGCCGAGGAGATGGCTCAGTGTAAAAACACTTGTCAGGCAAACACAAGGACTGAGTTCAACCCCCTGTTCTGCCAAAAAAATAAAAAATAAATTAAAAAATGAGAATAAAACAAAATGCTTGTCTAGGTTTTGAAATACATTTCTTAAACCTCTAGTGTAAATGATATTCATTATAAATCTAAACTTAAAATGTAGTGTTTTATTCATTGTTTAATATTCCTATATAAAAGCTGCATAATTTGCAAATCCAAACTTTATCACGTGATATTAGATAACACTTGTGTTTCCCTGTTTATCTATTTATAAAATGTGAACATTCATATATATATTTATATTTATTTATTATATATGTATATAATTATCATTATATTTGTTCCTTAAACATTTCCTACAACACATAACTTTATATCATAGATAGTTTTAGCACTCCTTAGTACCTGATGCATATGAAGTCCACCTATGGAAAAGTACCATGTGTTTTCTTGCTTAAATTTATTAACTAAAACTTTATGTGATATTTCAAGATCCAAAATCCCTATTATTGTGTTTCAAAATTAGTCTTTAAGTTAGAGTGCTTAGAATTGAATATCGTGTTTCTGAATATTTGGTAGTTGTGAGGGTAAGCACAGGAGAAGTTGTCTATATGGGTGTTAGGACTCTCAGGTTAATACCTTGAGTGTCCAACCAGGTGAATAGATAGACAAAATATGGAACTTCTACCCAGCAATGTTCTACTATTTCATAACAATAAATTGTTACAACACAGAGCAAATTTCTGGATAAACTTAGGGAAGTAAGTTAGACAACAGAAGCAAATATGTTACTTGTAAAAAATATTTTAGAGAAGTAAAGATTAATATAGTATGAGAGCAGGTGCTGTGAAATCAGTTGTATCCCACCACCAAACTAAATGCATGGCAGCTATTACCTGCAATGGGACTGTGTTTGTGCCTGGGGTTTTAAAAATGTAATGAAGGTTAACTGAAGTAGTATGGTCAGTATCACTGACATCCTTGTAAGGAAAGAGAATGACTTTAGAGTGACCTCTACAGAGTCAGTTTCATCTCAGGACATGAGAAGCAGAGGTGTGTTTGCAAGTCTGGAGGACAGGATTTAGGATGAAGAAAAGCTACAAGTGCATTAATCTTATATTTTCACTCTCTGGAACTGTGCAAAAGAAAATCATATGGATGTTACCCCCAAAATTTTCTTAGGGATATTCTTGAAAATTAGCACAAGTTGTAAATAATATTACTATTTACATAACAATGATAGTTACTTTCCTATCACTTTGTTTTGAAATTCATTTTTATTATTTTTGCCTTTGTGTTTGATTCTTGTTCTTTTTAAAATAGGGAACAAACAAAATTATTGTTTATAATAAAAAGCCCTTCATCCTCAGGTTAATAGTTAAATGTAATACAAATGTTTATACAGAATACAAGACAATAGAGATCATATATCCATATGCGTGTATATAATAAATACTATATATGTAATGCCAAGAGAAAGAAAATGCATCACTGTAAAATGCAATTTTTAATGATTCAAGAATAAACAAGTTAACTTTTGCTTTTGAAGAGAGATTACTGGCTATTTTGCAAAGGTCTCTTCTTGAGCCACAGGGAGGCCTTTTGAATGCTGGATAAGTATTATTTCTTCATTTAGGATCTGTATAAGACAGAAAAAGTATGTCAAGAGTTCTGTCAGATTTTTAATTTATACTGCATTGGGTTAATCATTATCTTGAGGCCCATTTTCTTAAATTATTTTATTGAAGTATAGGTCTCATACTAAATAGCACATATAGTAAAGGGCTCAATTCTTTTTTTAAATTTTAATTTAATTTTATTTTATTTTTCCCATAATTTTATTGAGAAACAAATAGCAATGAGACAGTTTCAAACCAAATTGGTAGGACAGTTTCAATAATTAACACATTGCATACATTCTTCCTAGTGGTTAATTACTGTACAAGATGCAGACATGATATCCTATTTACAAATACTATTACAACAAATTCCTCTATTCATTAAGAGAATGCAACTATATATCTATCCTAACCATTTTGAATACGCAGATACAAAATGGGCATTCATCTATATCCCCCTTTTTTATTCCTGTTATTTGAATATTATAGGTGTGTAAACTCAGTAAAACATTCTAAAAGAGTCCAGTAGTCCATAATAGTATTGGGTCTTCCACTACACTGGCAATGTCAGAAGTTGTTGACCTGAGTCCCCCACAGCTCAACATAACAACATCACTTTACTTCCTATACTTCATCTTCATACTTTTCTACTGGATGGTTAAAACCAAGGTAAAGCAGGACCTGTGCAATAAGAGTTGTAGCTTTTTGGTCTGGGAAGGTCAGTGAAATCCCCTCAGGATTTATCCTGAGATCCTGTACCTCAGATTGTAGAAACTTTGTCAGTGCAGCCATGTGGATGAGTCACAGCAATTGCTAGGCCAATGTGCTCTCTGTGAAAGCCTGAGAGAATGTTTTCTCTCCATGTGACTCTCCTTAGGCACACGCTACATCATTGATCACTTTCTTCTTTCTAATATACTTTTCTAAAATAAACACAGCTGGCTTCAAAGGGCTGCACAATACTTCAGGACCACGGAGAGCTCCACAAATTGGAATCCATCATACCTGCTTTTTTTTTTTTTTTTTGTTTTCTCTTTCTCTACCCCTCTGGACCCAGCCCAAGCACAGCGTGAGTGAGAACTTCTGCTGTGCTTTTCTCTCTCTTGCTTCTTTCTTTCTTTCTTTCTTTCTTTCTTTCTTTCTTTCTTTCTTTCTTTCTTGTATTTAGTACAGGGTTGGACTCATAGTGATCCTCCCATTTTTAGCCTCCTAAATGCTGGGATTACAGGAGCATGCCACACACCCGGTCTCAATTGCCGCTGGCACAGCTTGTGGTACCCAGAATCAAACCCCGGCCTCTGCACTCTGCCTAAGCAGGCGATTTAGTCCACTTAAGCTGTCTAGCAGCCTCCAGATCTGTTTCTGAGAAAATGATCTCTTGGTAGGAACTTCATTTCAAATGAATTGTTAGCTGCTGAAGATGAAATCCTTAAATTATTTAGGTGATTGTTTTCATCTTAACCTTGTGGAAATGCAGTTCTCAGTGACCGCTGAGGTGTAGAGTTTTGAAGAATTTCTTTTCTCTTAAAGTGGATGACCAAAAAAGTATATCAATATGAAAATCAGTACGGAGATTTCACAAAATCTAAAAACAGAAATTCCATTTGACATGGGCATTCCCCTCCTGATTAGTTCCCCCAAAGATATCATATTACACTGATACATGTATATTCATATTTACAGCAGCACAATTCCTAATATCTAAAACTTGGAAGTAGCCTATACGTCCACCAGCAGATGAATGAAGAGGAAATATAATTTCTATATACTATGGAGTACTGCATAAGCTAGCATAAATTTAAGTGATTTGTACAAAAATTTTAATATACTGTTAAAAGTATGTTGTATATATAAATAAATATTTTATGATTATTTTTGGCTCAAATTCTTATATTTTTAAGAAAATTATTTTAGCCAGCCCTATAAAATTATATTTAGCCACATCAGTGATCCTTGCTATTTACAAATCCCTGTAGCATGCTTTTTCTCCCAGTTTAGAAATGCTTCTCCCTAGGCTTTCAGTAATTTGGGCTCCTGGTTACTATGTGATATTGGAGAACTACCATCATTCATGTTTCTGGA